TGGATTAAGATCATTCTTCTATAGGACACGGCTTATGCAAATACCTCTGGAAGACTGTGCTGGTCTACCCCAACGACATCGTCACTTACTCTCCATCTCCTGAACAGCACTTGAAGGATCTCGACAATATTCTCTCTCATGTCTGAACTTCAGTCGACCTATCGATTGCTAATGCAATTACCCCTCTAGATGGCAGAGCAGCTGGAGCCTTATGAACACTTAAAAATTGAAAAGGGTTTTAGGTGCTTATTTGCTATATGCACTTACGCTAGCATTACCCAAAGTGCTATTGAAAAGCACACGCCAAAGCATTCATGGGCGTATATTAAGAAAAATATGCTCCTCCGAAGGTCTCGAGATTTTTAAGTGTCCACCACACTACTTTTGTATGAAGTTACCCGAACCATCTCTCGATATTAAAAATCCACTACCTTATCGCATAAATAGCAGCTAAGGAATGCCATACAATTCACGCTAATTCCCATGGTTATTCATGTGACATTACTCTATCTATCTTGAAATGCCATTTCGCGTACTCCTTCTAAAGCTTAACTTTGACATGTTAACCCGAGAAGAAACAGGAGGAGCTTCAAGCTTCGGGTTCTAGACTCAATGCCACTCTGGGAACTGTTGACAAAGTGCCAAAGATAAAACTTCACCATCCTGGCCATTGGTGTGGGTTATAAACAATGCAGGAACTTCTACACTATTGCTTGGTGTATTTTATCGACCAGGCCAGGCCGGCACCCTTAAGAAACCAGTTACAGTTATCGGCGGAGACTCAACTTTAACCAGCTCGTTAACATAGTTCAGAGTACTCTGTAACTAGTCAGTTGATTAACTTGAGAGTCCGTAGAGACTCTGTCTTGGTCAAGCAACTTGGTGATCAGTATACGATGAGCAAGCGTACCAGATCGCCAACGCCTACCGTTATGAACTACCGGAGCGACAAGCCAGCCGCTAATTTTTGCGGTATTGACATGGTTTATTGAATTCCAGACCAGACTAAGAGGCTGACTAGTTATAAAAAGGGTTTGGCGGCTTTATTTGACATTTTCTGGCCCCTGGCACCAATCACTACTGGCCCAAAATCGCGAAGACCAGCATCTAAATAAGCATCGATGGACATCTTCGCTGCCGGCGTGGTGGCTTAAGGGATATTGTTTCACTGGTTGGCAGGGCACATCCAGCGTGAGGGACGATCACCAGCTAACCAACTGGCTGGAAGACAGACAGAGCACATATCTAAAACAACAGCAACACCCAGACTATTGTCTGTACACATATAGGATATCGCGTTAATCTCCAAAGCATCCCGGACATATCGCCACTACAGTTTTAGTAAAGCTCTTGAGAAGGGCCTTTTAAGGGTTTTCCCGGAGTTTCGTACGGAATTGCTTTTTCCTCATCGCGGCGTGGCCTTATTCTTCAGCCAGTTACTATCCCGGCCCGTCCAGCAACGACCACAAGGTAACGCAGGGGGGATAACTAGTTATTCTTCACTCTCGACCAGAGCATCCAGTTAGCTTTTGCCTATAAACCCCCTGTAACTATCCCTTTGGCCCTTGACTATCAAAGTTGCACTTGGCTCTCCGAGCCCTGTCTGGGTGGAACCAGATGCCATTCTCATGCAGACTGAATAAGCAGGCATGAATATCTGACGGATAGGATCCGGCATGAACATGACAGACCTACGGTGTACAAATATGGGTATGTATCTCCGCTCCTAGCATTCAAATTCATCAAAAATTCATTTCTTCTGCTACGGCTAACTGTTTGTTCAGATATCTGATTGGTATACTTTTAATCTGCCCTGCGGTAGCAGGTGTTTGATAGCCCGGTTCGCCGGATCAAAATCACTCCTCGCATAATACGCACAAAAATGAGGGAGGAAGCGTACGATATCGTTATTGTTGGTGCTGGGCCATTTGGTCTCTTCTTGTCACTCTGCCTATCCCGATGGGGTTACAATGTGAAGCACATTGATAACCGAGAAGTGCCTACAAAAACAGGCCGAGCAGACGGAATCCAGTCTCGCTCAATCGAGATACTTCGAAATTTGGGACTAAAGAGGCAGTTGATGGCCTACACGCCTGCGAGGCTTTACAATGTTGCATTTTGGGACCCTGACCCTAATAGCGAAGGCATTCGTCGGACGAGCAATTGGCCCAGCTGTCCGCCGACCATCGGGGCGAGATACCCATTCTCCCTCATTATACACCAGGGTATAATCGAAAAAGCCTTTCTAGGTGAGATTTCCAAGTGTGGTACTACCGTGGAGCGTCCAAGCACCATAGCTGGATTCGTACATGATAGAGAAGACCCCGTATACCCTATATCAGTCACCATAAAAAGCCTTGACACGAACGTGGAACGCACTGTACGGACAAAATATTTAATTGGCGCTGAGGGAGCTCGGAGCTTTGTCAGGAATCAGCTGGGGATAAAAGTGCAACGGAAGGGGCCTATTTCCGCTGTATGGGCTGTCGTGGACGGGGTGGTCCGAACTGATTTTCCTGATATCAGGGTACGCATATGAGACTCCAGTGCTGGTATATGCTACAGCGCCTTTAGCCGTTGACTGACCTACCGAGCAGAACAAATGCACTATTCATTCTCACAGTGGTTCAGTGATGGTGATACCAAGAGAGGACAACTTAGTCCGCCTCTACACCCAAATATCCTCCCCCGAGGATGCCGACTGGGACCCTAAGCAGACAGCTACCATCCAGCAAGCGCAAGACTCCATCAAGAAGGCCCTAAAGCCATACAACATCTCCTGGGATTCAGTGGACTGGTATTCAACCTACCCAATTGGTCAAGGTTTAGCGGACTCATATAGTTTGGATCAGCGTATCTTCATTGGGGGAGATGCATGCCATACTCACAGTGTAGGTTACCCCCCAGCCAGTCTGATCTTAACGCTATCGATATAACGTCTAACCAATCTCCTCACCAGCCTAAAGCCGGTCAGGGAATGAATGCCGGATTTCACGATGCCCTAAACCTAGCATGGAAGATCCATGCAGTCGAGGCTGGATTTGCCGATCGCTCGATCCTGGAATCTTATGAAGCGGAACGGAGATACATCGCTCTGCAGCTGCTTGATTTTGATGCCAAATACGCGAAGTTATTTTCCCAGAGACTATCTTCAAAAGACCCCAACTTACCCGAGAGCAAGGAGTTTACCAAATTGCATAAAGCTGCCGCGGAATTCACAAGCGGTTACGGCATCATATACCCCCCGAATGCCTTTAATTGGCATCCGGATCATAGAGCCAAATCACCGCTTTTCATCTCCGAAGGAAAGGGACTCAAGCCTGGCCGTTGCTTTCCACCGGCTACGGTTACTCGTCTAGTTGATTCTAATCCCGTTCATCTGGAACAGGAAATTCCCTTGAACGGATCATTTCGGATATTGATCTTCGCCGGGAGCCTGGACAAATCCAGAACTGCTCTGGCTGATTTCTGCCAACACATGGAGAAACCTTCGAGTTTCTATTCCTTTTTTGCGACACCCGAGCATTCCCCAGACCCATACTTTGAGAAACATAATCCCCATTCAAGATTCTTCACCCTTGCAGCTGTATTCATGGAAGAAAAGGATAATGTTGATATCTCGACTCTTCCACGGCTTCTCAAGGCCTATAACCACCATATCCACGCCGATGACCTCGTTCATAAGAGGGATACTCGTCCGATGGGGTCGGTCCATAGGAAACTTGGCTTTGATACTGGCAGGCCCGGTGTTGTGGTCATACGCCCTGACGGACACGTTTCCTGTATTGTCATGTTGGAGGAAGGAAGCGGGACTGTTGATGCCTTGAATAAGTATTTTGGCACATTCACATCGAAGGTGGCCAGCGGACTAACGATTTCACGACTATGATCACCTTTTTGGTTACGTTGTCTTCAGATCACAGCATGGCAGACTGCATCCCTGTTTGGTTATCATTAGCAGCATATAGCTTCTCCTCTGGACATATTATGAAGTATTGAATTTGCATGAAAATGAAGATTCTTTTTGTAACAGATTTTCATACTTTGCCAATGCCATGGCTTCGTAGATCTACGATCTAGATAGCGCCTCCGATTAAACAGCCCAAACTATCGATACTGTCCGGAAAATTTTGACATGTGGACACCAAAATTTAATGGTCGATCTTACTATTAATACGGTCCATCTTTAAGGGGCTGAAAAAGCTTCCTGGTGATCGGAAACATCGGAATTTAACGGTAGTTTGTATGGAGTTTTTATAGTTGGGATAACCAAATAACTAAAGCCAAAAATAGTCGACGAGTTATTAAAGCCAAACCTTCAACATTCAAACATTCATCCACTCGACCCAACCACCAAGAGCCAGAACAGCGATCTAAAGCCGACAAAATGTTCACTCTTACTCTCTCGGCCCAAACATCAGGGTATGTCTATCTTTTAGATACCTGGCTATGGTAGAAGTGGCGTGTCGGGGCGTCAAACTCACCCCCGCGGCGTTGCCCCTCCATATCAAAAACACCACCAGCGAGCTGCATTTTTTCTCTTGCATTTTGATTGCTTCTAGAGTCGAGAGCATTACTAGACGAGGACGTATGGATAACCAACACGTCTGAGTGCATAGGGTCACTAATATCCGTCCTCAAGATACCCCCGAAGATCCATATTACTACACGTTCAAAGTGCAGTGTACGTCTTGCCGTGAAGTACACCCAAACTGGGTCAACGTCAGCCGATTCGTACGTATACCGCTTCTTCTGAGCTCAAATTGCCCAGTAATATCTCTGTTTATTGTCAGCCACAAGTGGAATACTTGGTGAGGGTCGGTTAAGTTGCTGTGGACACTGTCCAAGGTGCAAGTAGGCGGTCAGATATCGCCTAAAGATGAAATGCATTCGATTTTGCCACATATAACCTGTCTACTTTTCTCACGGCGGCTCCTGCATTCGTGAAGTTTCATGGTTGTCTGATCGACCCTTTTACTGACTGGTTCTATAGGAGCAGAATGAAGTTCCTGGAAGTCGAGGAGAGGCAAATTTCGTGTGGAAATGCAGGCTCTGCGGGGTGAGTGGATGACTCGGATTTGCGCAACTTCACACGCACTATTACCCTTCTGCATGCTAGTTATGTGGTAGAAGCAAGAATGGGATACGCAATGTCTACCTTGGGGGACGGGAGTTGACTTGCATGTTGGTAATTAGAGGACCCATTCTGCCAGCATCACCGCTGGGCCAATGGCATTTGATGAGTCGAAGGGCTTCGATGGAAAAGGCCAGAAGATCATCGAGTTTGACTGCCGTGGCCTAGAATTTACCGAATTCAAGGCAGATGTAAGATTGGCCTTCACCGTCAAGGCTACAAAAGTACTCCATGACTGACACGCGATACAGGGGAAATGGGAGGCCACAGGTACAGAGTCTGGAACCAAGTTTAGCGACATTAGCCTGGAGGAGAATGAATGGTACGATTTCGACGAGAAGCAGGGTGAGGAGGTCAACATCACGGAAGTTAGCTGGGAGATCCGTAGGGCTTGAACGGCATCTGTCTACTAGATGAATATCTATGCAGCTATGTATACGAGTGAGGCCTTTGGTTGTTTGTATATCTACTTCCTTTTATGTCGAGAAGTGTCGCTGCTTTAGTATCATTAATTGTGTTATATAATCAATTCATTAAAAGCGGCGCTAGAATCATCCCAAAAGAAAACTCAAAGTCGCGAAAGTTGAAGCTCGAAAGGAAAAGAAAGCAAATTCTAAGACGACGACGAGCAGCAGCAGCAGCAGTAGCAGCAGCAGGAAGAAGAGGAAGATTGAGCGCTGGCTAACAGGGTATACGTTGCTTGCTGTCGCGGGCTGTGATTACGGTCTTGTGAAGGGAAGAAGTGCTTAATTGGAGCCTGCAAAATGAGTGTAAGTCCCTGCCCCGGTTGCTCGTGTGGGATAGATAAGAAGCAGTCGCTAACAGCAGTTGAATGAGCAGTTTGTTCCTCTCAACCCCCGGCCTATGCTGCAGTCCTTGTACGTCGTGATTATCTCAGCCTGAGTTGGCTTCCCCGTTTACAGCTGGCTATCTTGGCCGGAGTACATCCAATGCGCCTCACCATTTTCCGTGCCCACATGCCTTTATCAGCAGTTGATATGCCTGTTGAGTTCATATCTCTCTGAGGGACAGCTGTTGGTGCCAGTGATATATCTACGAGGATACATGCAGACGAGGATGCTAATACCAATTGCATGAGCTAATACGTTGTCTGGCACTAGGATTAACGAGGATATTGTCGTTCGCCTAAAATGGGGCCAAACCGAATATAAAGGCCGACTGATCAGTGTTGACTCATACATGAACATTCAACTATCGCAAACCGAAGAGTTTATTGATGGGAAGAACACCGGCACTCTAGGCGAGGTGCTTATACGGTATGATGATAACTAAACGCTTTGCATGGACCTGGATCCTTAGCTAATACATCAATGCTTCAGATGCAACAATGTTCTCTGGATAGGGAACGCAAAGGGAGTGGAAGACAAGGATGTCCAAATGGGTGATTCTTGATGATTAACGTCTTTCTCTTCACCTTTTTACGCCGTCGTTGGGGGCGAATACCGCCGGATCTTAACCGTTTATATCACTTTTTTTCCCTTACCTTTCTCATCTATTCCGTGCAGTGGAATGGCGAATGGAGTTTTACGAATTGAATTGAAATACAAAGAAAGCACTGCGGGATTCAGCAATGAACAAAAAGTCCATCTTATGAAGTCATATGTTACGCGATACCCTCCTTCGGCCGTCGGTTGACATGGCGACTGACTAGCTGTGGGAGTCTGGTACAGGATGCGGCTGCCGGAACTTGGAAGAAGCGAATGTAGCAGGTGAAGAAGAAGAGCTTTATTAGAGCTTTACCGGCTGATCAACTCTTTATCATGGCCGTGCATCCGCGTGGCAGGTATATCCCGCATGGCATTGCGTGTGATTGATGTTAGCCATCCCGCTCACTTCCATGTCTCGCATCCGTCTGTTACACCGCATCCTACATGCTTCGGGATAATTAGATGAAGAGAAAGAAAGTTATATTGCTGCCTTGGAAGCTAGAATCCTCGTCCGGCGCTCACGGGTCGGCTATACATACATATGCTGCCATGAGGCGAACACAGCCAGCTCCTACAGCCACAGGTGACACCATTTCGTATGACAAGATGAAGAGTAAGCCAGATTTATAAGAATCTCGCTCTTAAAAAAGCACCGTCTATCCGTATTGTAAGCTCGGTAGTTAGTACTCCGTGTAGAGGCTGAAAGCTGGTTCCTGCGACGGCTTTACGTCATAGGCGGCCGGTTGTTTTTTCCCGGCGACGTTAAAAATAACTTGTCCTTCTCGAAGACGACAACGCGGACGCGGACGACTGTCGGCGCCGCCACTCTCGAACTGGGCTATACTTACGAGCGCCCAAGAATAATATACAGGCTGAGCATCCGATCTTTGCTCGGTACCAGGTACACTATGTTGACAAGAGTACGGAGCAAGCGGGCGTGGCATGGTCGGCGCATTAATCAGATGAGGGAGAGGTGGGTGGGCTCTCGACGGGCGGAAGGACGAATCCCACCTCCCCATCCATCACGATGCACAGTGACGTCTGTCCCAGCCTTATTGAACGGATACTAACTCATGGCCTTAACGGTAATAGGATGGCTCCCCCGATCTGAACGCGCATGCGTGCAGCTATTTCCAAGATCCTGGCTTCAAGTCGGTGTAGATGTGCTGGCCTGGTCAAGGGACAGTCAGGTTTCTGCAGACCTGCCAGAGAACTCCTCGTTCGGTTTCCGTTGAGATCCTTGACGCTGGAGAGCTAAACATACATAAGGTACAGGATGAGGGATGAATGACACCGGCCAGGTCTGAAAATATCAGACTCCTGCTCGGCATGAGCCCGTTTAGAAACGGGCGTTTAAGCAGCAGCCAATAATGAACGATGGGATACATCTTTGATCTCAGAGTAGATCGATACACCAGATGGAGTAACCAGTACATCGGTGCATGAATCAGCATGATAAAATAAAAACAATAATAAGAAAAAGCTGCCTTGATGTTTCTATATCGGTATCTTCCTACGTGGTACAGACAGATCTGACGACAGGCAAAGGCATGGTTGCTTTTTCATTTGCCATGAAGACTGAACTTGGTCTCCAGTTAACCGCCACAGTCTGGCACAGATACCTTGAGATGAAGTGGGATGATTGGGGCTTCCGTCACGCAACCCGCAGAAGATGCATCAACTTATGCACTCTTCGGGTTTTGGAAGTGTTTCGTCTTTTCGGGCCAGGGTCTTTTTTTGCATGAAGAAGTCAATCGATCAAGGACGGCGGGAAGTGACACTGAGAACGTTTCAACATATACTTCGGACCGCACTACACCACACCACAACACATCCAAAGGAAGCAGATAATAAGTACAGAGCATACAAGAGTCAACCTTCAACAACACCCAAGCAAGGGGCCATGAAAAAGGATAAATCACGGTTTTCTTCATGCCTATTCGATGACCCATTCACCCCCCCATCTCCCCCACCCCAGGGCTGGTGGCAGGTCAAAATCACTCACTACTGCGGCGTGTGACCTGATCAGCGACTTCGCAGTAAAGCAAGGCATGAAGAGGTGTTGGTAGAGGAAAAGTAGTAGGCAGGCAAGAGGCAGGCAGCCCTTTCACGCCAGCGGTGCGCCACATACGTCTTTGCTCAGAGGGTACGAGAGCGTGTGAGAGGCCCGTCCGAAACTCACGAGGGACAGACGCCTTTCCCTCCCTTTCTTTTCTTTTTCCCACTTTGCTTCTTCTTGTCCTCCCTTAGGGGATGGTGAGTAAGGCATAAGGATGGGGGGCATCCGAACTATATTCTGGCCCAGAAGTACACGAAAGAGATGCGTCTCAGGCATCAGAGTGGTCTGGTAAACGGGAAACTCCCATCCTATCCTCAGGCAAGGCAGGGATGAACATCAGAATGAATGAATGGAGAAAAACTGAAGATCCCTCGGCGAGCACTGCTGCTCATTAACAGACCCCAGGAAAAAAAGGAACTGGTCTGCAGTAGCGTGAGAGCGTCCGCATAGATTGGCGGACCACTTTTTTGCTTTTCTCCCCCATAAGCCATCCGTCCAAACGCTCACAGGGATGATTCAAAGGGGAAAGACGATGGAGGAAGACACATGCAAGGAGAGGAGGGCAGCCAGGCTGCTATACATACATAAGCATTTAACTGATGGCCATAACCCGCCCTTACGTTCCGTCCAGCAAGCCCGACAACAAAAACAGCAATAATTAAAAATACACCAGAATCTATTTATCAGCACCCATCGACTCATCCAGCTCCGGTATCCATATTTTATACCTTCGACTCTTTTTTTCGCCGTTCAACAAGCAACAACAAGAACGACGAAGCGACCATTTAGGCTTTTTGCTCTTCTTGCGCAAGAATCCACTTCTATACATTCGGCGGTTCGGGCAACTCGTAAGTCAGTCTGGCAGCCTGTGGAGCGTCGCCGTCAGCAACAACGGGTATTATTATTATTATTATTTACGTACTGACGGATCCAGGGGGGCTAGAAAATGAAAAAGGTTCTAGTTTAAAATACTACTTATAACTAGCAAGCCCGTCCGGAGGGATCTCAGGAGACCTACTTATTGCCTCCCAGTCGCTCCTTTATTCGACCTTCTAGACACGTTCGCCTCTCCCGTCTGACTGATATATACTCCATACAATCAGTTTACTTCTACTGCTACATTGAACGTCTTCATCTACCGTTGCCGTCTACATATCAACATCATCATCGTTGTCGTCGTCGTCCTTGACTCACTGAAGCCACCGATCTAAAAGCCGCTGCTCGCGTGCTCAACACCAACAACAAACCACACTACAATCTTGAAATACTACATACGAACAACTGCAAGTCACTACAAACAACCGCTAGCACTTCCTGCAATGCCATTCACATCACGGTTCGTGGAGCTGCTAGATGCAGAGAGCCACCATGTATCCGAAGACGACGTCCGACTAGAGGAGATACTGGCCGAGTGCGAGCGACGAAGCAGCTCACGAGCATCAACATCTTCATCCTCTCTCTCCTCGTCCTCTTCTTCATCTTCATCCTCCAGCAAGGTGAACATCGCTCAACCAAGCCGCAAGATGAGCACTCGAGACAAACTTCGACGGATATCCTACTTTGCACCGAAGTGATGCATTACTTTCTCTCGGCTCCGACTCTGACTCTGACTCTGACTCTTACTACTACTTCACGATCCCATGAATGCGTCTCTTGAACGACTCATCGCTTTAACGACTCTCTGTTGCTTCTTCTTCTTCTTCTACACCGGCGGTTTTCTTTAAAAAAGCCCATCTCTTGATTCGTCTTCTTTTTTACCGTCCCATGATCACTTCCAGCGGCTTGTGTTCTCTCTGCCATGTGCGATTGAAGGGAACACTACATGCTGTTTACGACTCCTGTATAACTTCTTTCTCTTCTTCCGAACTTACGTGCCTATCTACCTACTACCCATACAGATTGTAATATCACTTTTTTCAGACCGAGATACCCCCTTTGAACACCTATACATTTTTTTCCCCTTCTGCTTACCTTGAATGTACTTCTCCCTCCTCCCTCCACACAAACACGCTTATGCATAGATAGTGCTAAAAACACTTCGGAAATTACCATCTTCTCCATGTCCCACCTCGCCGTTCCAGCCATCGTGTGCCGTCTGCCGTCTTGTCTCCCCCGCCGAAACTATTAGATTCATACTTCTCAACCCGCGGAACATCTGACTGAACGAGGCCTTTCCTCTCTTCTTTTCTTCTTTTTCCCCTTCCCAAAGGCAAAGATAGACAAGAGACAGGCAGACAGACAGCGAGCGGCAAGACGCTCAGTCATCTGACATGAAATTGAATTCCCACCGTCTTTTAGGGTTTCCCAATCAATGGGCCTCAGCGACCCTCCATCATGGGCTGGCGAGACCAACATGTGTTACTCTTAGTCCCTCCCCACAGGCCGTACCGACCAGAGAGAGAGGAGTAAAAAAAAAAGTAGAACAAAGCACGCGGACTGATGGCCCTTTCGTAACACACTCTGTACTCCATAGCGAAGTAAAGTCAAGTACTCCGTACTATACTTTCCTCCGTCGAGAACAGACGACACTACCGTTCGCTCGTGTTCTGAAATTGCCCCTCGGGGAAATTTGGCCCAGTCGTGTTCTGGCCAGAAAAAGGGGCTCCTTTTGTCAGCGACAGCCGGCTTGGGTCTCAGCGTTGTGCTCAGCATGGCTTCGTTTACTAAGATCGCTGCTGGGACTCTTAAAATTAAGCGGTTCTGGCATTCTTCCAATCGGTGTCCGGGGGTTCTCCAAGACCGCCCATGGCAATAGTCGGGGGGTGATATAGCGTATCACTTCTAGAATCGATGGACGGCCAGCGGAATGCGAGACAGCCAGCCCAGGCAGATTTTAATAATTGCTTGCTTACTGGTCTCGTTGATCTCTCCACTTCGTTCCGAGGATGCTGGTTCAATAGTGTTGTGTTCCTGATCCATCTACCAGAGTTGACGGCGCTCATCCGCATCCTTGTCTTTGCTCATCTTTTTTCGTCCGTCTCTTCGTCTTCGTCTTCGTCTTCTTGTCTTTTCGTCTTCTTCGTGTCTCTTTTTTTTCTTTCACGAGCCGAGAAGAAGCCGAGGGCTACTTAGTCATGAAGATTATGTAAGATGCCCCTGGACCCCTGGACGACACAGTCAGGGGAGCGAAGGGAGAAGGACACGAGGATAAAAAGTGTAAGAGAGTTGAAGTTGAGATGTTCACAGCTGTAGTTGATGGGTTGTGGCTGTAGTTGGATGCAGTAGATGTAGATGTAGATGTAGATGTAGTCAAATATGTCGTTCTTGGTGGGAGTTCGTGGAGACGGGCCAACGGAGATGAAACTCGCTGTTTACCATCAATGTCAATAATAATAATAATGTCAACACCACCAACAGAACAGCAGCAAAGCCAATAGACAGAGAAGATGTCGACGCGGCCGCTGTCTGCTCACCAGAGGTCAGCGTCAAATGCGCCGGCGCCTTCGTACTTTGAAGAGCAGCGAGCAGAGCTCCTGCGAGAGATATCCCTGGTACGTGGACGTCCCGGCAGACTCAAGGGACTCCAGCTAATTAATGGTGGGATGATAAGAGCCTCGAAGGAGTGCTGCAGAACATCAACAAGTTCAACCGGAACCTAGAGAGTATCATCACGGTATGGGCTGTTGGATATCTATCTGTAGGGATGTACATTCGCTAATGGCTCGACTAGGTTGGGAACGAACTGAGCTCAGTCGAAGGGCTATGGTCACAGTTTGAAGGCGTGATGGGCCGGGGAGAAGAACAGGGCAACCAGGACGTCAAGGACGAGGAAGATAGAGACAAGCAGTGATGAATTTACCCGTTGAATGAATGGAATTTACGCAAAGAAGGGAATTTTTTTGGACATTGGAAGTTTATTACTTCTAGCATACAGATGCCGTACCGCCAGCTAAGATAGACAAGGACAAGGAAAGAAAAACGAAAACACCTTTTACCAGCAATGCATATTCCCCCGAGAGTCAAATTGGATCCCGTAGACATGAATAGAAAAGGACATGAGGAAATAAGGGAAACTCGATGTATAAAAAAAGGAGCAATAAGGGCAGACAAGATAGGGCTGGGAAAAAAGAGATATAAAAAAAAACAGACGAAGCCGCCTAGGAGATAAGATAGACAGTATGAAAGATAAAAGATAGTCCAAGTGTC